CAATAATAAATTGAGGTCTCAGTTCTCAGTTCTAACAGTCACTTCCACTGCCTTCCTCCACTCTCCCGGAATTGCCAGTCTCAATGGCCACCACCGCAAGTTGCACTATCACTCCTCCACTCAATTTCAAATTTTAAAGTTCTTGTCCACCTATAAAGTACTCTCTGCGATTTGTTCGTATGGCTAGAAGTAAAACATTTTTTGCCAACTATAATCAGTCTTCTCTCCTTTTCACTTTCCTATTTAGAAATGAGTTTTACTTTATCGAGAGCTGGGAGTAGGCAACTCAGTCCTGCCGCCACTTTCAGCTTTCCCCCTTCCGCATCGGAATTTCAAACATTCACCACTTTCCTAAATTATCCACTAGTTATAATCCAACAGCAGTTTTGCCTCCAATATGGGCTGGCTTCTTTTGCCCTGAGCTTCGGGCTCCCTTCTTTTGCCCTGAGCTTCGGGCTCCCTTCTTTACCTCCGTGGTTACAATTCCCGGTTAGGCTCCAAGAGTTCTCCTTCGCTTGGGTGATCCCGCCAGGATCTGATCCCACCTCGAACGGTCTCCCACGAACAAAAATCCCTATGGAGGAGAGCGGAGCGGAGTTCTCCTACATCACCATGCCGCAACATCACCGGAAGTCTTGCTTCCAGTTACTCTTCAAGGGTAGCCCCATATAGACCATATTGCAGTAGTCCAAGCAAGAGATGACGAGGGCTTCAGTGACTGAGTGAAGGAATTCCTGATCCAGGAAAGGGCACAACTGGCACACAACACAACGTTTTTGCAAAGGCTCTCCCAGCCACGAATACCATCTTCTATCAAGCACCAATCACAAGTCCAAAAGAATCTCCAGACTGGGCACAAGGTAGTGTAACCCCATCCCAAACTGAAGAAGTCCCAGAACCAGAAACTCCATCCACCCAAAGCCACTAGTCTTACCAGAATTCAGCCAAAGTCTCTTGTCCCTCACTCAGACCCCACACAGCCTCCAGGCACACAAAGTACAGTGAATTAGTTCATTTGTTGTGATTCTTGCATGGTTTGCCTCACAACATTGACACAAAGCCAACATGTGGAAAGAGCAAGGGAAGACTTTCAAAAGTACTGGGGGGAAATGTAAAACTGGGTCAATCTTTAGTTTTGAGCTGCAAATTAACTATCACTAGTCCGGCATGGGTCACCATACAAAATGGTTCAATAAATTTTAGGTCTATTTCCTTACATAGTCACAGAAAGGGATAGTAGAGAGAAACCAGATGTGATTTCCAACAATGATTCAAAGGCCTTCCTAGACATGGAAGGTAATAGTAGTATTACTAGAACAGTAGAAGGCTGGAGCCTAATCTTAATGGTTCTGAAGAAGTTATTGGCTTGCTTGAAGCTCCTATAGATATCAGGACATTTGTTGGATTTAGAGGACCAAGATATCCTAAGAAAAATTAGAATGTTCACTTTGTGAGAGAACGGCTATACATTTGTTGGAATTCTGCCATACATAACTGGAAAGGAAGTAAGGCCTCATCACCAAACTGCTACTACTAGTAGTACCAGCACTACTACTACTACTTCCAGTTATATATATGGAATTCTGCCATATATAACTGGAAAGGAAGTAAGGCTTCAGCACCAAACTGCTACTACTAGTAGTACCAGCACTACTACTACTACTTCCAGTTATATATATGGAATTCTGCCATATATAACTGGAAATGAAGTAAGGCTTCAGCACCAAAGTGCTACTAGTAGTAGTACCAGCACTACTACTACTACTTCCAGTTATATATATGGAATTCTGCCATATATAACTGGAAAGGAAGTAAGGCTTCAGCACCAAAGTGCTACTGCTACTATTGTGGTAGGGACAACTGAGGCATCGTTGAAAAAAGCCCTATCTGACAGTGATGGCAGCTTTTGTCCCACCTGCTGAACTATCTGTTTTATAATTCGGGTTAGCTGACCATCTGGATATTTATATGTAGAAACTAGAGCACCATTTTGGTTAAATGGTCTGAAGCAGGAATACAAAAACACTTTTTCTGCTTTTATAGAACAGGAGAGAAAAAAACAGCTGTCAAATTCCCTGCCTGAAAATTGTCAGAAATTATCCTGGCACTCAACACAGCAATATAAGAGTCTTTATTACATGCTATAATGAAGTCACTTAAAGCAGTCAATATGAGTCAATCTGGCAATATGAGGATGGATAGTTGGGAAGGGGACAATTCCATTTTTTACCCACTGAAAATTAAATCTGACATTTCCCCCATTTTTTTTTTATTAATGGACACATTGCCTTGCAATTTTCTGGTATGGTACCAATTAGTTTTTTAAATAATTTTTCCCTTGAGAAGATCTAATTTGTAATATAGTTGCCCCAAATGCAATACATAACAGAGTCCAGACCTGGAATATACATTCAAAGATTTAAGGTTATTTTTCTTGCAAGAAGGGATGCACATAACCGAAGTGTATAAAGAGAACTCTTGGTCACTAGCTTTATGAGACAAAAAATTTCGATTCAGAAATACCTTCAAATTGTATATTAGTTATTTCTGGAGATTTGTTGTTCTTACAACCATTTGGAAGTCACTTCTCCAAATCATGCAGTTTGGAAAGGGAGCCATCCAGTGATCACAGGAATGGCCCCACTTGCAGGATGGTTCGAGGTAGCCTTGGTAAGAAGAACATGCCTCTTAACAGCATCTGCAACTGCAGAAAAAGGCAAAGATACTGGCCATAGTGGGATAGGGAAAGGGCGGAAACCCACTGGGGGCATGGTAGGGTAGGCAAAGGGCTGGTCTCTTTGCTCAACAACTGAGATGCCAGTCCTAATTTTGCTCATCTGTTGAGGACTATATGTCATAGCCTTGCAATTTAAACTTGTGGTACCTTTCTCCCATCTCTAAGAATTAATATATACTTGGCAGAGCATTTGATAGCAATCAAGTCAAGTCAATAAGTTTATTGTTGCAGCCATAGGCCATAACAGATACCATACCATAAAATAATAAAATAAAATAAAAACAATATGACATTAAAATTATAAAGTAATAAAATATTAGGTATACAAAAGTTAAAACAAGAACAAAACCAGAACTACAGCTGCATTTTTCTGCCTGTCCAGAAAAAGGTGCAAACCCTTCTTTTAAGGATTCATAAGTTTTTTCTAACAGAGCAGCAACTTGTAAATCCATTTTCATTAATATTGTAAAACAGATGGCAGCCATTTTTTTTTCTGCGCTATCTCTCATTTTCCAAAATGCTTATGGCTGGAATATCAGGATACCATAGCCCAGAAGAAAGTCACAATCTATATTTCATGTCTTCAAGTCTGTAACAGTTGGTACAACTATTTGAAACAGTTACAAAATGTATGTTTAGTCCATATTTTACAAGATACATCTTCAGACTTCTGAAGCTTTATCGTATTTATTATATTACCAGTCTGTTTAATAAGCTTTGTACAATAACTTCTATAAGTAAGGGAGTCTCTCATTGATGCCAAAATAAAAATTAAGAGAATTCTATTCAGGCTGTAGTTTAATGATTTCTTGCAGCCATATGTTTTTTTTTAAAATGTCCATATGGTAAAGTACCACCACCTGTTTTTAAACTACTAACCAAGTGACATAGCAAATTGCCAGTGGTATGAATTATACTAGTTTTATCATGAAAATATAAATATTACACATACACACACACACACACACACAGTTCAGAACAACATCTGGGTAAAACTGATTAACCATTTTATCATGGTGATACCACAAATTAACACTTTTTATTTTGCATTCTATTTATTCAGACCTTTGTACCACATTTTGCCATCCATTAATTATATCTATATCTATATCATCTATGTCTATATCTATATCGATATCGATATATAGATATAGATATCGATATATAGATATAGATATCTATATATCTTAGATATATATCTAAGATATATATATATATCTATATATCTTAATTATATATATATATATATTACAGCCAGGCCCCCAACCAATGAGAACACACCCCCACCCAATCAGAACACAGCCAAGCCCCCACCCAGTCAAGCCGCACTCCCACTGGCAGTTAAAAGAAAAAACAGCTGCAAGCTCACATTACTCCAAGAAGCACAAAGCCGAAGACACAAGCCTGAAGATGGTGAATGAGATTTCGTCGAAACATCGCCAAAATACTTCCAATTTTACGCGGGAGAAAACCCGAATAACCAAAGATCCACATACAAATACCCGCGAAAACCTCAGAAAACAAATATATATATATACCCTGTTTCTCCAACAATACGGCCTCCCCAATAGGAAGTCCCAGCATGTTTTATAGGCATGAAATGAAATTAAGCCCCTCCCCCCCAAATGAAGGCCTATATTAAAACATGCGAAATGGGGGGAAATGGCGGGGGGCTTGCCGTTAGGAAGCACTTTTGTTGCACACCCGGATATGGTGCTGCCTGTGTTGACCCCGATACAAAGTGCCCCACAACACCGAGGTCAACATCCAAGCCGTCACCTCCCGCCTGCCTGAAGATGCAAGTGGGGGGAATTAAGTCACCCCCGAAAAGATGGCCTTATTATATGAGAAACACGGTATATATATATATGGCATGTGCGTGAAGTTTCATTCACATGCAAAGGACTTGAATTCACACACGAAGCTCCACTTGGGCAAGCAGAAGATGCTTATGTTTGTGCACCAAGCTCCACTCTCATAAGTGGAGGACATGAGCGTTTAAACTTGCGCATGAAGCTCCAGTCCCACGAATGGAGCTTTGTGTGCTAGCACCCTTCCGCACACAAATTGAGCTATGCATGTGTGCATGTGCCTGCCATTCACATGCACCCTTCCCTGGGCTGGTCGGGCTGCCAAGCTAGAAAGATTGGGGACTGATATTCTAAGAGCAATATGATTTTGTTCAACAGTTCTTTAGAATTCATTTCTAAGTAAACAACCATCAGTAAACATCTGTGCCAGATATAAAAGGAAAATCATCTACCTTAATTGTGCTAGTGTGAGCTCCAGGATATTCTTTTTCTTCCAGGGTTGACCAGCGCTGTATAAATTTTGACACCAAAGGATCATCATAGTCCACTATTTGAAATCCTGACACATTAGCTCCTCCAAATTGTATTTTTGATAAATCGCCATCAGTAAATCCCTGGGTATGGAAAATATACATTTCAGTTGCGCCATGGTTTAATATTTTATCTGTTTTATCTGCTGACTGCCGGCTGCCTGCAATTTGGCAGATCGAATCTCATCAGGCTCAAAGTTGACTCAGCCTTCCATCCTTCCGAAGTGGGTAAAATGAGGATATGGTGACTGTGTAAACCTCTTAGAGAGGGCTGTAAAGCACTATAAAGCAGTATATAAGTCTAAATGCTACTGCTATTGCTATTAGAAAATAATACAGAATACAATAAGAATCTTTTTGTCACATTTGAAGATTGAGAGAAATCATTTGATAGAGTTGATAGGAAATTGTTATAGCAAACATTAATCCCATATGGATTACGTGGACATCTTATTAGGGTATGCAAAAGCTTATATAGTCATTGCACAAGTGTATTTAGTATTTATTTGATTTGTCAATCACTTACAAGATCCAGGTATAAGAATAAATATAGTTTTGAATACATGAGATAGATACTTATAAGAAAAATAAAAAAAACAATAGGACAGGGACGGTAGGCACGATTGGTGCGCTTATGCACGCCCCCTACAGGCCTGTTAGGAGACGGTGAGATCAATAGTAGACAGTCTAAGGTTAAAGTTTTTGGGGTTTGGGGAAGAAACCACAGAGTCAGGTAGAGTATTCCAAACATTGACCACTCTGTTGCTGAAGTCGTATTTTCTGCAGTCAAGTTTGGTGCGGTTAACCTTGAGTTTGTATCTATTGTGTGCTCTTGTATTGTTATGATTAAAGCTGAAGGATTCATTTGCAGGTAAGACATTGCAATGTATGATTTTATATACTATATTTAGATCGGACCGGAGGTGGCATAGTTCTAGGTTTTCTAGGTCTAGAGTTTCAAGTCTGGTGGCATAAGGTATTCTGCAATGAGTAGAGGAGCAGAGAACTCTTCTTGTGAAATATTTCTGGACTTTTTCAATTGTGTTAATATCAGATACATGATATGGGCTCCAGACTGATGAGCTGTATTCAAGTATAGGTCTAGCAAATGTTTTGTATGCTCTAGTTAGTAGTGTGATATTACCAGAGAAGAAGCTATGTAGGATTAGATTAACAACTCTTAATGCCTTTTTGGCTATGTAGTATAGTCAGAACAAGCCAAGGAACATCGGAACACTTCACAGTAACATCTGGAGTAAAACACGGATGTGTACTATCAGCACTATTATTTATCACTTACATTACAGCATAAGCAAACAAGCCAAACTCAAGAATGAAAATAATACCAACTACTCTTTGCAGATAATCAGGTAAGTAACAGCTAACAAACTGCAATAGCATATTATGGTCATGAACCAAGAATGCCAGACAAATAATATGAAAATCAGAAAAGAAAAAACAGAAGTAATGGCAACTGGAAGAAAAAAAAAAGCATACCCTAAACAGAGCAATAGAAGAAACAAGCATAAAACAAGTATCAAAGTTCAAATATCTAGGAATATTCACCCAAGATAATAAAAGGGATGAAGATATTAACATATGATGCAGTAAGCAGCTTTCTCCACTCCTACAACATAAGGCAGTACTGATCAGCACAAAGAAGCATCGAATGCAAAGCAAACTCATCCCCATCCTATGTTACCTCTGCCAAACATGGATACTTACAATAAAACATAAATGAAAGTTAGTCACCATGGAAACGAGATGTTTGAGGAAAGTGGATGGAGCGACCAAAGGAAATAAAATCAGTCATGAGGCCGTAAGAGAAAAACCTGGTATAGAACCAATATTAAATGACATACAAACAGCAAATAAAGTGGTTTGCCTATATCTGCAGAGGATGTTCTGAGATTTCATACCATGCAAGCACATACAAAAAGAAGGGAAACTCCAAGAGCACAATCCAAACACAGAGGAAGATGGAGAGACAACATCAATGACATACCACAGCAACAATTAACAGTGGTTGAGGCCGCCAGAAAAGCCACTCGACATTTAAAGCAATAAAAGAAGAAGTAGAGAAAAAGACATTGCTAAGAGGTCTGTAAGGGAGGTACATAAGCGCACCAACATGCCTACCGTCCCTGTCTTAATGTTCCCTTTTATTTCATGTATTTCATGTATTAATCATTATGTTTATACTTATATGTATTATCAAATGTATGCTTGACAAAATAAATGAATAAATAACAATGTATGTGCTGTAATTTTGACAGTCACGGTGGTTAGGGATGGACCTCTTAACGTCTGTTAAAAGAGATTTGGATGTTTGGTGACCACTGTACATTTATGACAGTTACAATGTCCTGTTGCCACTATTGATAACATTCCCATCTGACTTCCATCAAGCAGAATCAATGGGGAGGGGAGCAGGAAGGTTGCAAGTTGTAGTCACTTGATGTCTCACTTAACAACCATGTTGATTCATTTAACACTTGTAGCAAAAGGGTAATAAAATAAGGTGCAGTCATGTGATGCCTCACTTAACAACCACTGCTTAACAGTGAATTGACAACGTTCTTACTTTGTCATAAGTCAACAACTATCTGTATCAACAATATGGTGCCATTTGTTGCCTTGTCTTATTAAGCCACAATTTGAGTTAATCATGGTTTATACAGTATATAAAGCATGTTTACTGTTTAAATAATTGGTTTTGCTCTATTGTTTATATCAGAAAATACAAAAAAAAAAGGAAGATAATGTCTCTAAATACTGTACAGTATAATCAAATTTCTTAAAAGCATTTCAATGCTTTTTTCTTTCAGGTAAATTTTACATAGTAATTTTATTTAATTTGAAATAATGTTTTCTACAATTACAGAATATTCATATTATCAACACATTTTATCCTTCAGTTGGGAATATTAACAACTCATAAAACAGCTAAATACACAAACACACACCACTTTGCAGACAACACTTAATGTGTATATGTCATATCTGAGGCCAACAAGAAATAGATTTCTTCCCTCTTTTCTCATATATGGTAATCATACGAAGGCTAGTAACAATGTAGGGCTACAGAGAATGGCAGCTAAGTATAGTTATGTAATCAAAGGTGGGAGAATATATAATCAGAGCAAAAAAAGCTGATGATTTTAGACGAGAGTGCAAGAACCAAGAATAAATACTTCCAATATTCTCTGAGGTTTTTTCAGAGAATCACAGACCTTTAATTAAATATTGTATGCACAACCATACATAAAATATACTTTAACTTTGGAAATATTACATGTTCAGGGAAGTATTAAACTAACTTACCAAATTTGCAATGATGTAGTGATATCCTTTTACATGTTTACCGATTGTAATAACCTAGAAGGGAAACAAATAACTGACTTGCATGAGGAAAAGGTACAGAAACAATAAAATATATTTTATAAATTACAATAACTGCATGATTATTTTCAAAAAAAACAACAGACAATACACCTTACTTTATATGGATGAATTCATCGTAGATTAAAATATGGATTTTATTTTTAATTGTTATGAAAATGGCTTTCAGTCCAGAAGCTCTAAAATACTTTATTTTTATATTCATTTTCACTCTCAAAGTTGGCCAACAATAAATTAGCATGTTCCATTCTCACTGAGCAAGAAAACAGCAATATTTTTGAGCAGAATTTTAGACCGCAAGAGGATCACTCCATTGCCTGTGAATGTGATGCCTTTAAGATTGTTTTAGTCGATGCTATTATGTGGATTCATGTTTTAATTGTTTTTACAGAAGATATTTTTTGCACACTGTTTACTAGAGTTGTAAATGTGAGTAAATAAAATAAAACAAATCTGCCTCTTCCCCGTGTTGAATGGGGAGATAACCTTGAGACCCCATTACTAGCTGAGATTACTACATCGAAATAGGAGGATGGCACAGCTGTCTATTAGGTGATCAAGTAACTTCTGATTGCTGGCCTAGCAGACATGGTGCTATTCAAATACAATACAAAGGATAATCATTTCTATATTCTATATATATCTGAACATATTTATTTAATGGACCACTGAAAACACAATGGACTAAAGCTGTAGGTGTAGCTAGGCATCTATAGAACCTTGGCAATTCACTTAGCATTGTCTATTGCTGTCCATTAGAGTTGGGCAGCTAATACATTTGAATAAATAAATATGCACTTTGTGTGCAAACAAAAATGCCATCCATTTTACTGTTCATCCAGATCGAAGTTCATTTATGCAACATTTTCACATGGTGTATCTGGAATTGTTTTAACAGTTACATTTCTATTTGATGCAATAGAAATAACCTATTGTCAGAGAGCAAATACAAATAGTCCTTGTTTAGCAAGCTCAATTAGTTCCAGCGAAATGATTGCTAAATGATTGCTAAAATGAGAGGGAGAGGGAGAGGGAGAGGGAGGGGGAGAGAGAGAGAGAGAGAGAGAGAGAGAGATGCTGTAAAGATCACTGGTTGTTGCTGCCTCATTCAGATAAAATTCTCTCACGCAGCAACATCAGTATTACTCTCAGTTCTCAGGTGCAGAAATATGGATGTAAGTGTGCTCCCTGATTGGAAAATGATTTGTTTACTACCATGGACTACAGTTGATTATCATTGTATTTGCAGATGGTCACTATATAAGGTAGTTGATAAACAAGGACTACCTGTAATGTTGACATTCCAAATAGTTTGCCAACCAAAGACAGACAAATTAATCTGACACCTAGAGAGAAAATCCTGCAAGTGTTTTCTCTCTCCAAGGCACTAATTAAAATGTAATAAATTTTATAACAGTTTGCTGCCCATTAATTTTATTTAATATTACAGCATCACTCTAATAGTAGGACTGGTCTTGTAATGCAACAGCACAGTTAATATATACTGGTTCCCACATAAATAGAGATATGATAATAAATAGCATAATCATAATTTTTGCCAGTGCTACTAAATAAGCACATAATGGTGATTATTGGTAATTGATTTCACAGTTGGTCACATAGATATTGAAAAAGAAAGAGTAGCAAACCTGATCTACGATGTCATTGACTTTATCCCGTTCGCAATCAAGAATTACTCGTCTTTCCTTTTTTATCTCCAAATCTTGAAACAATGAGCGATACGTTTCATCTTTTCTATCATTGTTAATATTCCCCACATTTATAGCAGTCACTTGCCATTTCTTTTCAGCTGCAGTGTCTAATACAGCTTGTAATGTTGACAGTCCTAGTGATACAGAAAAAAAGTCACTATTGACTTACACTTACATAATCTGAAGTTTGTAAATACATTACTCTTCAACCTATGCAAATTAGCATTATTTTTTTAAAAAAAGAAGTTATGACCATTAATTATTTGGACTTCTAATGATTTCTGTGCAAGGATGTAACAACTCCTTAATTATATCCATTTGTTTTCATTAGTGGTTCCTTTTTGGAATAGATATGACTTTGGGGAAGAATATTTCTGTGCTATTGGAGAGAGGAAATTGTATGATAAATCAATAACTAAATGCTTTTTAATTGTTTTTTTCCCTGTGTGCCAGGAATGCAAGAAATAAAACTGCTTCTCTAATGGAGGCCAATGCTGGATGCACACTATTATTTATCAGATTTGTATATAGCATCATTCAGAACAGATTCACACAGGACTCTTAAAAAATACAAGAAACACAATGAAAATTAAAATGCTGATAGTAAAGATCAATATGTAAATAAAATAGAATAAAATAATACCAGCAGAAAAACCCAAAACCCAACAGTTGACACAATCAGTTGACAAAACCAGGAGAGATTCAACCTAGAAATAAGAAGAAATTTTGTGACAGTGAGAACTATCAACCAATGGACCAGCTTGCCTTTGGAAGCTGTGGGAGCTTCATCACTGGAAGTGTTCAAGACGAGACTGGACTGCCATCTGCCATCTGTCAAAAATGGTGTAGGCTCTCCTTCTTGGATGGGGGGGGGGGTTAGACTAGATGACCTACAAAGTCTGTTCCAACTCTGTTATTGTTATTTTGATCCCAAATATCTTCTAAAAATGTTGTCTTAGTCTGTTTCTGGAATGTAGCAAATGTGTGGATCTAACCAATCTTTGATTGGAAGATTGTTCCACAAAATAGGTAATAACACTGAGAAGCAGCACCTGCATGTCTTCTGACTGCTTCGTCTCACAAAAGTAGGGATCCAAAAAGAGATCCATCTAGAATTATCTTACTGGAGAGTTGAGATTCCTATTTGAGAAGGTGGCCATCTAAACCACCTTAGATGTAACCAGTGCAAGGCTTAGCACAGGTTTAATGTGCTCATAGTGATGAATTCCCCCGCCCCTCAAATATGTTGCAGTCTGCTTCCAGGCAGATTTCAAGGCTGATCCCTTGTCATATACAATATGCAATAGCTCATAGTGATAAAGTGTTCATTAAACGAACTTTGAATAGTCATTAAATGAATAGTTGCAAGTTGAGGACTACCTGTATTCAACTGTGTGCTATTTACGTACGAGTGATATATCTTAAATAAATGACCTAGAAGCTTCATGTAAATGTTAACAAGCAGGGTGGAGAAGGCTGAACTCTGCACACATGGCCACTAGGCAGACTTTTTTTCCCCCTCACTTCCACCAACTGCAACGGATACTGAGACAAGAACAGAACCACTGAAGAACAAGGCCTCCAATTTACAACTCTCAAGTCCAAAAGGTTATCATGGTTGATACTCTCAAAAGCTACCCAAAAATCTTATAGGGGTGCGCTACTCTAATCCAGGCTCCTACAAAAAAATCACCACTAGTTATCAGACAAAGTAGTTTGAATTATTATAATGCTCAGGATTAAATACTGACCAAAAAAGGTCCAGATAATCCGATGCCTCTAGGTTGCTTTGAAGCCAACTCCCCACCAACCTCTCAACAAATTTCCCCAAAAGAAGAGGTTGGAGATCAGACAAGAGTTGTCAAGAACTGCAAGATTCAAAACAGCCTCTTTTGAAGGGGGCACGTCAAGTCTCTTCTGGGACCACAGGCAACCCCTTCTTCTTCAGAGAAGCATGGATCACCTTCCATATTCAGCTAGTTATGCTTTTTCCACTCATATCTCACTGGAGAACATGTAGCAAAAATAATACTTGATAATTCTGATAATACTCTAATCATACTATTCATATAAAGACAAAATACCTAACATTCTAAAGGAAGGCTAATTAAAATCCAGTTTCAGAAACTTTGGAAAGCCACTGACAGTGTAGTGAGGGGGCACATGCTATGGATTTTGTTAACTAAACATATTTACTTTGTATTTTAATTTGATTTATTTTCTCTTTTAAAATGATGTTCAGGTTCATTACAGACTGGAATGTAGGAAAACTTTTATCCTATGATTATATGAATGGATTAGATGGCTTTCAACATTCCTAAACTGAAAAAGATAATTTACAGAAGGATGTCCTGATAAGAAAAAAGTTTTTTCTTCGTGTCCACTGGCATCTGGTTATCTAATGTCAAATAAGCTTTGTAGTTGATTTACTGTGCAAGGAGGAGTTACTCTTGTCTTGATCAACCAACTTTCCTCTTTCATTTTCCTTTGTTGTGTCAATTATAAAAAGGAATGTAAGATGGATCTCAGGGAGATCCCACTTTTGCAATGGCTTTCTACCCGGAAAAGCTCACCGGAAGCGCTGGCGCTGCCATCTTTTTTTGATGAAAAAGTGCTTCCGGTGAGCTTTCTACCCGGAAAAGCTCACCGGAAGCACTTTTTTACCAAAAAAAGATGGCGGCGCCCAGCAACCAGCGGCCCGGTAAGAGTTGTTCCGCAGACCGGTATCGGTCCGCGGACCGGCGGTTGGGGACCCCTGCACTACACAACTGGTTCCTTCAGAATACACAAAACATTTTGCTAAGGTATTTTGAATTGCTGCAGCTTTATGAGGTGGCTGTAATTGAGTCAGGGACATTGTCTTCAAGTGCTAGATTATTTGCAAGATCACAATCTGCAGCTGAGACAGGGTATTCTGAAAGGAGAATTGCAAATGAACGGTACCATGGTTATGAAGTCATTATCTGCCAATTGTGATAACAAGCATAAAATCCAAATTTCTTCATGATAGCATCATTTCTGCACCGTTTTCTTTACTTCAGATGATTCCATGTACTCCTATATAAACTTAAAGCCTCTGGGTTCTTTTTTTTTTTTTTGCACTACTTATTCCTATCTCTAAAATGGACAATGACTGTTCAAAATAAACCTAGAAAATGTATAGGCTGCTAATTTATTTTCCTTAGCTTAAATAAACAAATAAACTTGTATATTCAGTTAGTTGATCCTATAATTTTAACAAAAGATTTATTATAAGTTATCAATAAAAGAATGGAATAAATATATACAAAAAAGACTATCTTGTTACATGTCTTTAGTTCTTCAGCGACTTACAATATTTATCTTTTTTAACCCCTCAACAATTTTGTTGAAAAATCAAAGGAAATATTATATAATCATTAGTACGGAAGTTTTGGTGTTCTTCAAGCTTGGCTGTTTGCCTGCAAACATTTCATTACTAGGCTAGGTGACATCATCAATAACACAGTCAACCCACTACAACACCACCAACACAAGCGATGAAAAGGAGAAACATTAAAACTACAGTACATAGATTAAGAATTTAAAAACTAAACTGAACTAAACTCTTATTTTGCATGCTGACTGGAGCAGCTTCCTCTTGATTCCTATGAAAAGGGTAATATTACCATATATCAAAAACATCTCAGAAAAAAATTATATAGCACTGCCACAGTACATGAACCAAGTAACACTCTCAAAAACATCTTAAGTAAACAACAAGAACAAAACCCCAATAGCCCAACAAGAAAAAATATATCTACAATACATATAAAGTCTGTAACAGCCAATATGTAGAACAGACTGGTAGAAGATCAGCGGAGAGCATTCATGAATGCTAACTAGCAGTCAAAAGACACCGTGAATTTTTTTTTAATCTTACAATGTATAGACAGACTCAACCACAATCTCAACTGGGAAAAGTGTAAGCATCCTAGATCAAGTTAGGGAAAGCACAAATGCTAGGGAATGTCTGGAAACCAGGCATTAATCAGGAATGTCTGAAAACCAGGCAATCAGTCATCATGGATGCATAAGAGCCTTGGTGGCACAGTGGTTAGAGTGCAGTACTGCAAGCTACTTCTGCTGACTGCCTGTTGCCTGCAATTTCTCAGTTCAAATCCCAGGTTCAAAGTTGACTCAGCTTTCCATCCTTCTTTGGTGGGTAAAATGGAAGACCCAAATTGTTGGGGGAAATATGCTGACTCTGTAAACCGCTTAGAGGTTTACAGCTTTAAAGAGGGCTGTAAAGCACTATAAAGTGGTATATAAGTCTAAGTGCTATTGCTATAGAGATAAATCACATTTGTACCCCATTCAAAAGAGAATAAAAAAGCTAGACTTTGCAAGTATAGCAGCTGCCATATGAGCAGCCTATGCACAAACATCACATTATATAATTCTATGAATAAGACAAAATTCTTACATGAAATGTATTAAAACTGTAATAAACATTGTTTTGACTGGGGAGATTATCCTACCCCTTTTTGTGTGGTGGGGATTCAGCAGTTGAAGATCCTCTCATGTCTGAGGCAGCCTCCTTCAATGTTTCAAAAAGGATGAAAAAGAAAAGAACAGACTACGGAGGAAATTGAGAGGCAGAGTAATCAGAGCCACAGTGGCACACTATACCAAGGTTGGGGACGAGGTGGGATTCAAAAATTTTAACAACCAGATCTGTGGGCGTGGCTTAGGTGGTGGGCATGGCTTGGTGGTCATGTGACTGGATGGACATGGCTTGGTGAATGAAATAGGTAATAGGAAAGATGAAAAGGATAATAGCAATTCAGCCTACTAGGTGGTTTGACATCCCAGGGCGTAAGACAGTATTGTGGAAATTAGTTGTTTAGCAGAGTGATGGCATGGGAGAACAAACCGTCCTTGTGCCTAGTTGTTTTGGTATGCAATGCCCTGGCCGATAGCATTGTCTTGAGGGAAGAAGTTGAAACAATTTATGTCCAGAATGTGAGGGGTCTGTAGATATTTTCACATCCCTCTTTGTGGCTCATGCAGTATACAGATCTTCGGTGGAAGTCAGGCTGGTTGCAGTGGTTTTTTATGCAGTTTTAACTATCAGTTAAAAACTATCTGTCTTGTTCGGTTGCTGTGCCAAACC